CAAAGTTAACGATTTTTCGCTGATGAACAATGAATGAGTAAGACGATTGGTCTGAGATTCCAAGTTTTGCGACATTTAATCTTGATTATCGTTTTAACAAGTTCTTCTCGAAATTTCAAGTGTGTGTTGCGAAGTTTAAGTAACAAAAAATTGATATATTGAACAAGGCAAAATAAAATGAAATAAAAATAAAATCCAATATTTTTCTTAACCAAAATAATCAATGTAATCAAAAAATTGTATTGCATTAAGTTTTAAACATTAAGCAGAGTCAGAATCAGAGGAATATTTCCTTTTTTTAGATTTCTTGTGTGCTTCTAAATTAATAAGACTTTTCATAATCTTTATGCATTCTTTACCTTGTTCTAATGTTTTTTTTTTTTTTTAATCCATTTTGCTCTTTTAGCAAAATGATCTCTGAAACTTTTCGAAGCGTTGATTTTCAATTTGTGTATCTTGTTCGTGTAACTCTTTCAAAACAATGCTTAAATTATCTTTCTTTGGTCTTACTGTTTTTTTAACATTTTCAAAAATATTTAAAATTTTTAAATTATCTTTTTCTTTCTTTGACGTATTCTTCGTTGACACGTTATTTTCTAGTGCAATATCTTCTGTATTGGGAAAGTTTTCATTGTTATTTGTAACTTCGCTTATTTTACTACTACAAGTATCAGAAGTTGTACTAAAATTATCTAGGGAATTCAGTAAATTAACTGGTTGACTGTTGTGTTTCTCTCTGATAAGGTCATGCATCTCATCAAAATATTTTGGAGGCTTTTTCTTCCCTGTTCCAGTAGATTTCATGTATTGGCAATGTCTACGATACATTTTTTCTAAGTTACGCCAACGTTGATGACATTTGTCAGAAGCTTTTGTTCCAATATAATGAATTAAATAACCATTATTTTGCATTTCTCTTGCAATATCAAATCATATTTTTTTTATGCATTTAATTATTAAGATGGTGAAATTTAGTTCCAACAATCTCTAATAACTTTAATGTCATTTCATTAGTAAATTCTACAAGTATTAAAACATTATTATTATTATTATTATTATTTAATTGTATTATTGTATATACATGTATGTATTATAAAGGTGCTTACTATCTTTATTTGTCATTTCTAACCCTTTTTCTTTAATTTCTTCGTTTGTGCATTCTTTATTTGTAATATTGTTTTCTGTTGTATCTGTAACACAAAATATATTTAAATGATATATAATAATTTATATAAAATTATTTTTTAATTATTATTGCAATTTGTTTTAAAATATAATTAATAAAATGATTATGTATGAGATCATTAAAAACATATAGACTTATATTAAACAATAAAAAATCAAAAAAATATAAGTTGTTTAGATATTTCATGATGTTTTTTAAACATTTGTATTGTCTGTATACGTTTTGAAATTTAAAAGATGTTTAAAGTCTTATGTACTGTTGTTTTCAGACATAGGTGCTTTACATAACGATTGAGCTTCCAAGATTAAAGCATTTGCTGTAATATTTAATTAGATATAAGTCTTAATTTCATATTTAAAGTAAATAAATAAAAAATACATCTATCTGTATATAATTTTTACATACTTTTAGGACAAAAATATATTAATTTTCCATGTTCATCCAAAATCGGTTGCCCACTCGTGTCAGCACATACTAAAAGGCTGCTTTTATTCATACTATCTATAGTATCTATAATTGATAAATAATGAATTAAATATAATTCAAGTTTTAAATAATAAAGAAATTTTATTTGTTTTGTAGCTCTCTATTTCAATCAGTGCTTAACCTATAAGCGTAGAAATTATTTAAAAGTGTCCAAAAAAATTGACATTTTTAGTTTCTACTTTATAAGCTCGATCTTCTGTTTGAAATATTTAGCTCAATAGATTTAACACGAATAAATGTAAAATGCATTGTTTATTACCTGTGTCTTTATATTTGGCGCCTATTTGCAACTCAGAAAACTAACAACATGTACCCTGCTTTATTGCTGGATATAACGTGGTACCAACCAGATACATACCAAAATGATTGGCCACGCCTCTATCACAAATTACCAAACACACGAAAACATTCTGGTACACATTGGTACATGTACCAAACAGTCGCAAAAAATCGCCTAATAATATCAAATATAATAGTTTTCAAAACAATGCTTTGATATGTTAACAAAATTGAACAAATCAAATATAGTAGGCCAACTGAACGAGCAAATAAATAAGATGTAAAAATTTTTTATTAATAGTTAAATAATTAAATTAACATTCCGTTACAGAATCGATATAAATTGTAAACGTTTCGACTGCACTACAGTCTTTATCAATACATAAAAGTTAAATATTAAAATACAAAGTTAAATGTTAAAAATACAAAGTTAGTTAAATATTAAAATATAAAATTAAAACGATTCTTCGCTGTTGACCAATAGATATGCAAGGCGATTGGTCTGAGATGCCAAGTTATGCGACATTTAAACATGCTGCGGATATAATACGCGAATTAAATCAATGTCAGAGAAAATTAAAAAATCTTTCAACTTACATTATCGTTTTAACAAGTCCTTTTTCCCGATATTTCAAGTGTGTGTTGCGAAGTCTGAATAACAAATGTCAAAATAGAGAGCGTGATGTATTTATTAATTACCAATGTTTTTTCTAAATTATGATTCAGCAAATTTTTTAAGTATGTCAAAATAACTACTGTCTAACAATTCGGTGTCTTTATTTAAATTAATTCCATTTTTCTGTTCTTTAATGTGGATCATTTCAGATATTAGTCTTTTATGGTAATTCTTTTCATGATCCATAATTTTAATATTGTCCCAGTCAAATGTATGTTGTTCGTTTAGAATGTGTTCCGTGACAACCGAATGTCTAGCAGAGTCTAATTTAATATTATTTTTATGTTCTTTAAGTCTCGTTCCTAACTGTCTTTTTGTCTGTCCGACATATGTGGCGTCACAATCGTTGCAATTCAATTTATAAATAACGTTAGAATTCGTGGGGCAATTATTTCTGTCCTTTTGAACTTTTATGAAGTCATTCAATTTTTTAATGCAACGATATCCTACCACTACGTCAGGTCTTCTTATTGCTGAAGCAACTTTCTCAGATATTGATTCTATATATGGTATGACAAAATATTTAATGTTAGTATTAGTATTATTAATATCTGTTATATTGTTATTATTAGGCTTGTTAAATTTCTTAGTTGAGAGATTTTTTAATCTGCGTTTTATTTCTGTGAAAATTAGATCAAGAGGATAACCGTTGGATAGCAAAATGTTAATAGCTTTCTCTATATTTTTTTTGTGAAATTGCGGATGTGATAGTAATAAAGCTCTATCTACCAAGTTATAAATTGTTCCTATTTTATGACAAGTCGGATGATTTGAAAAAAATGAAAGTAATCTACCTGAGAATGTCTTTTTGTGATACCAATCTAAATAAATTTTATTATCTATTACTTTGATCATTATGTCTAAAAAGCTTATACACCGATTATCCTCTTTTTCCAATGTAAATTGTAGTCTATCGTTATAATTGTTGAATTCGTTCAAAACATATGTAATATTGTCAGCGGAAGTGCATAAAATAATGTCGTCTACATAACGGAAATAAAAAGTCATTTCGCAATTTAAATTACTAATTACCAATGTTTCCAAGTCCTGCATGACTATATCGGCAATGATCGGAGAAAGTGGGGAACCCATAGGAGTCCCATAAATTTGTTTGTAAGTTATGTTATTGAAAGTAAAAAATGTAGAAGTTAATATAAATTTTATCATACCTATGAATTCATTTTTGGGAATCTTTGTGTGTGACTCTATAAAATGCCATCTATTATTGATACCGTTTAATGCAAGATCTACGGAAACATTAGTAAATAATGAAACAACGTCCAATGAAACTATTATGTCGGAATCTTGTATTGTTTTCCCTGATAGAGAAAGCTATTAACATTTTGCTATCCAACGGTTATCCTCTTGATCTAATTTTCACAGAAATAAAACGCAGATTAAAAAATCTCTCAACTAAGAAATTTAACAAGCCTAATAATAACAATATAACAGATACTAATAATACTAATACTAACATTAAATATTTTGTCATACCAGTACCTGGAATCAGATTATAAATTCCTGCAGCCGCTGGTTATCGGCGCTGGTATTTTTTCCTAAGATAAACAATAAAGAACCGCCGCTTATTGGGGAGGTACCGCGAGGGTGAAATGCAATCCTCCGCAAAAACATGTCGCAGGCAGCGAGGCCGCAAGCGGTGAGGTTGCAGGCAGCAACTTGTTCGCCCCGAAACTTTACCCGCTGATATTTCTTAGAAATATACAGATAACGTATAGATCATGTATCAACCCCCTTGATTGTCGGCGCTCAAGCATGGATTTAGCGGCAGCCCTTCTTAGAATTTAATTATATTTCTTAGAAATATACAGATAACGTATGGAGAGAAGAAATGCAACCCCCTTGATTGTCGGCGCACGCCAAGCGGTAGCCCTTCTTAAAATTTGATTATATTTCTTAGAAATATACAGATAACGTATGAGGAGAAGAAACGCAACCCCCCCCTTCTAATTGTCGGCAGCGGCAGCCCTTTTGTAATAGATATATGTTTATCTTTTGTTTATAAACATATCAGCCCCTTATCTGCTGATAAGACCCCCCGCCCGCGTGACGTCATACCCCTCGCCCCCGAAAACCCCCCCGCCCCGCACCCCCCTCAGAGGACCTGGTCCAGAACCCCCATATTATTCCTACTGAGCTCAGGTATTCACTGCTCCATCTGCGCCGAAAGTGTTGCCTGAGCTGTTCTACTCGCTGCCAACGCACGAGTCTGCCTTCGTTGACGTCGGTGATGTTGCTGCAAGAGAAACTGTTAAGTGCCGTGCCAACCAAAAAGTGCCCAGGACTGAGATAAGACAGATCGTTCGGATCTTTGCTCAGCGGAGTAATGGGGCGCGAATTTAGTATTGCCTCGATTTACGCTAATACGGTTTGTGATTCTTCAAAAGTTAAGTGAGCTTGACCAACTATTCTCGACATATAAAATTTCGCGGATTTAACCACCGCCTCCCATAATCCGCCAAAATGCGGAGCGTTTGGAGGAATGAAATTCCAAGTTATACCTTGGCTACTGAAATATTGGGAGAGGTCGCGCTGCGTTTCTTGGTCACGATAAAATTCGTACAATTCTTTAAGCTGTCTCTGAGCCCCGACGAAAGTGGTCCTATTGTCCGAGTACATTTGGATGGGCTTTCCCCTTTGTGAAATAAATCGCTTGAATGCTCCAAGAAAGGATTCGGTGGTTAGATTACTTACTACCTCGATATGCGTCGCCTTCGTGGTGAAACACATGAATATCGCAATGTACACCTTGCTGTTACGCGCGTTGCGTCTGTTTTCTTCACGTAATGTAATCGGGTCCGCGTAATCTACCCCGCAGTGCGCGAACGGCCTAGACGGTGTTACGCGGCTAGAGGGTAACGATCCCATGATAGCTTCGGAAAACCGCGGCTTTGATCTAAAACATATTATGCACTCTTGAATAATTTTTTGCGTGGCGGATTGCAAGGACATCGGAAACGTTGTCTCAACGAGGCCATTGTGGCCTGCACTCCGGCGTGCATGTTTCGCACATGTTCCTGCCTTATTAGCTTTTGAGTCAGGTTGTGATTGCGCGGCAACAATATCGGGTGACACGCGTCAAATATCAAATCGGAGTTTTTGAATCTCCCGCCTACCCGAATCAATCCGTCTTGACCCATAAACAAAGCCAACGACAATAAACGGTTGCTCAAATTGATAGGCTTGCCCAATTTTAGAGCTTCGTATTCGCTATTGAACATTTGTTGTTGCACAATCTTGCATATGGTTTCCAACGTGGATGACCTTTCAGCAGCAGAGATTACGTTGGTTGATGAGATTGGACGATGAATTTTTGACATTCTCCTGCAATACGCGATAATTCGTCAAACCTTTAAATTAGATTATCTTTGTAGCAGTTCGATTATCGCGCATTGCTTCATTTCGACGACGACTGCGACTACCTTTTTTTGCTCGGGTTGGTCGTCCTTTGAATGGGCAAAACTCTCATTCGGCCAGGATTGTTCGTGAGATATCAGAAAGCTGGGCCCGTGCCACCACCTGAACGACGATACCAAGTCATGTGGATACAAGCCACGAGAGAGTAGAGTCAGCGGGATTGTCGGGCAAAGAAACATGGCGCCATTCGTTGATGTCCGTGAGCCGTTGAATTTCGCCAACTCTATTTGCCACGAATATGGACCAATTTCGGGAAGATGATATATCGGCGATGATATCCAGTTTAATGCACTCGTGGAATCCGACCATAGAAATGTTTGGATTGGCGTTTCCAGCGAGTCCTTTACCTTAACTATCAACTGAGATAGTAAAACTGCGGCTGTCAGTTCAAGCCGCGGTAATGATACAGCCCTGAGCGGGGCCACACGCGACTTGGAGCAGAGTAGCTCGGAATGATATTCGTCGGGTCCAAGGATGATACGAACATACGAGGATCGTTTGAAAAGTCCGTGCAAAGTCAGAGAGATAGCACTACTGGCGCGTATCGAGGTTATGTTTAGTTAGTAGCATCTCTTGGAAGAACACACACCAAGTTTCAGCCAGATCGATCTATTTCTTTGTGTTTGGCATTTGTTTGAATCGAGGAAGAAAAATAGCCATTCGTTTCTGCAATCACCTCCTCGTTTGAATAAAATCTTTTTCCCGCCAGCCATTTCTTCAAATTGGGGAACAAATAATAGTCCGAGGGAGTCAAGTCTGGAGAATAGGGGGGATGTGCAACGAGTTGGGACCCTATTTCCATTAATTTTGCGACCACAACTGCTGAGGCGTGAGCTGGTGCATTGTCGTGATGGAAAAGGACTTTTTTGTGGGCCAATCGTGGGCGTTTTACTTGCAGCTCGGTTTTCAAACGGTCCAATAACGATGAATAATATGCACCTGTAATAGTTTTACCCTTTTCCAGATAGTCGATGAGGATTATTCCTTGCGAATCCCAAAAGACAGTCGCCATAATCTTTTCGGCCGAAGGAACGGTCTTCACCTTTTTTGGCGCAGATTTTCCCTTGGTAACCCATTGTTTAGATTGTTCTTTGATCTCAGGAATGTAGTTATGTATCCATGTTTCATCCACAGTGACGAAATGACGCTTAAAGTCCTGCGGATTCTTCTGGAACAGCTGCAAACCGTCCTTGCAACACTTCACACGATTGCGTTTTTGGTCAAGCGTGAACAATCGCGGCACCCATCTTACAGATAGCTTTGTCATGTCCAAATGTTGATGCAAAATATTATGTACCCGTTCATTCGAGATGCCCACGGCACTAGCAATCTCACGCACCTTCACTCTTCTGTCATCCATCACCATATCATGGATTTTATCAATAATTTCTGGAGTAGTAACCTCAACAGGGCGTCCAGAACGTTCAGCGTCACTTGGGCCCATATGGCCACTCCGAAAATTTTGAAACCACTTATAAACTGTTCTAATCAAAGGTGCAGAGTCACCATAATGTTTATCAAGCTTCTCTTTAGTCTCCTGAGGCGTTTTGCTTTTCATAAAGTAATGTTTAATCAACACACGAAATTCTTTGTCGTCCATTTTTTGAAAATTACTCGACTTCCTCGATTCAAACAAATGCCAAACACAAAGAAATAAACCGATCTGGCTGAAACTTGGTGTGTGTTCTTCCAAGAAATGCTACTAACTAAACATAACCTCGATATGCGCCAGTAGTGCTATCTCTCTGACTTTGCATGGACTTTTCAAACGACCCTCGTATATGTAAGCGCCATAATACGCCTCTTAACTGGCGTCACAAAATTCGTGCAATTGCATGGTGTGAGTATTCGGATTGAATCTTACAGGTCTGGGGATCTGTAGCTGATTGACGGCGTGTAACTGTGATTTGAGCTTCAGCCAACTAGAGTGTGCTTCTTGAGGTACTGATTCGTCCCAATGCACGCCAGCTTTCCACAAACCTTGCAATAGGAGCTTCGCGACAACGATAACGGGCCCGAGAAGACCTAATGGATCAAACAAACGCGAAATTTCAGATAAAACTGTACGTTTGGAGATAGCGCCGCTACTAAAGTTAGAGTTGTAAGTGAAGCAAAAGACATCCTTCGTCTGGCTCCATTGGATGCCTAATATGCTTGAATCGATTTCATCCTGAATCGTGATTAGTTCGTTGTCTCCATCCTTTACGTCCTTGAGTAAATCCGGGCAGTTCGAGGCCCACTTACGTTACTCGTTTCGAAGAGCTGTTGCTTCGTCGAACGTATTCGCTCCAGATAGAAGATCATCCACGTAAAACCCACGCTTTACGTGCCTTGAGCCAATTGGATATTCAGCTGCATGTTGTTCCGCGTGGTAGTTGAAGCATCGGGTGGCCAGGAATGATGCCGATGATGTTCCATATGTGACTGTAAGCAGTTCGTAAGCATTGATGTCGTTTGTTGAGTCGTCTCGCCATAAGATTCTTTATAAACTTGCCAGAGAAAGATCGATCAATATTTGCCTATAAATTTTAATAATGTCGGCGGAAAATACGTAAATAAAGAATCGAAAAAGAATTAGTATCGAGACCGAATCTGATTGCACGACCGGCCTCACCAGGATTGCATCGTTTAAGGACAAGCCCGTGGTGGTCTTACATGACGCATCAAATACGACGCGAATTTTGACGCTTGATTGTTAGTCTTAAACACGCAGTGGTGTGGCAGAAAAAATGATGCTTGATCTTTGTTATGCTGCGGGTTTATTTTTCGCATGTGACCCAATAATATATATTCGTCGATGAATCTCTTGTATTCTCTCTTTAATTCGGGTTGTCGCTTGAAGCGCCTCTCAAGGCCCATGAAATGTGACGTCGCGATGCTTCGCGAGTCTCCCAGCTTTTCAATTACTTGTATTTTACGGAAAGCCTGACTATGTATCGTTCTTGTGAGTTTCGGCGAACGTTGCTCAATAAGTGCTACTTGCATAAGTTTTCTTCAGAGGTAAAGTTGCTGTCTGGATTGATCGACTCGTTTATTTTCCAGAATCGATTTAGTTGCTCGTTTAACTGTTTATTCGCGATGGACGCGTGCAGTAAAAGGGCTCTTGGCTGCAGTAGGTTAGAATTGATCGTCCGCCCCGCCAGGATCCATCCTAATCGTGTTTTCTGCAATTTTGGATGTTTGTCGGTAGATTGGATTTGTTCCACACACAATAGATCCCAAAATACTTCTGCTCCTATTAGGACGTCGATCTCCGAGGATATGTGGAATTGCGGGTCGGCCAATTTTATGTTACGTGGAAGCTCGAAATTTTTTCGTCTTAATGTAATACCTGGAAGTCTCTCGATTACCTGATCAGTGACGATGCAATCGATTGTAGCTGCATACGAATCCACTCGTGAATGTATCTTTACCTTGACTGCTTGCGTAGCCGACGTGACCGCTCCGCCTATGCCAGAAATCGCTATGTTTAGTGAGCGTGATGTTAAACCAAGTTTATTCACGAATTTTCTTGAAATAAAGTTGGCCTGGGATCCACAATTCAATAGAGCTCGACAGGGTGACGCCACCGCCGTAGTTTGCGGTATGCGAAGCCACTGCAGCGGAGGCGTTAAGCTTCAATTTTTCGTCGCCCTCCGCGGAGTCTGAGGATTTTGCTGAGTGCGACGAGGACGAGGTCGTTGCTGCATGAAGTAGCGTGTTGTGCTTTGCTTAACAGACCTTGCAACCTCCCAAGATGCATTTGCTGGCGACGTGGGCAGCAGAACGTAGGCAATTGATGCAAATTTTGTGAGCGCGGATTTCCGAAATTCTTTGAGGGATTTCGAGCGCTAAAAAATCCTTGCAATAGTAAATCGAATGTTCGCCTTTACAATAATTGCATTTTGGTTTAACCGCGGCAACGCATGCTGTTTGACGCTTGATACTTGATTTCACGGCGCCATTTTTCGCGTTCAAAATATTACCCGGCTTACTAGTGGCCTCGAGCATTTGACACCGATGCATAATGAATTCGAAAAACTGTTTTGAAGTGGGTATCTCGCTGCTCAGCAGTGAGGACTGCCATTCGCGTAAAGTCAGTGTATCCACTTTCGAGCACAGTATGTGTATTAATATGTCGTCCCAATAGGCGACAGGACGTTTTAAAACCTGCAAGGCGTGGAGGTGCTTTGTCGCGCCGTCCGCGATTTTTCTCAATTTCGTATGATTTTCTTTTACTATAGACGGAAGCTCTATGGCCTTGATGTGATTTTGTATAATTGCTCGTTTGTTATCGTACCGCTCCTTGAGAAGCGTCCACGCAACGTCGTAATTCGCTTCCGAAATTTCAAGCAAACTAACTACGTTACTCGCGTCGCCGGTAAGGGAAGCTCTTAGATATTGAAACTTTTGAACGGAGCTAATAGACGCATTGGTGTGGATTATCGAAGTGAATGTATCAAGAAACGGGAGCCACTCGTCGTATTTTCCCGAGAAAGTTGGTAAATTTAGCTTGGGCAGTCGTACCCGGTTCGTCGCGTCCGATGCTTCGGATACGGTTGCAGGTGAGACCGCGGGGCGTCTAGATGTGCCAGGCGGACTTAGCAATTCGCGAATCCTACCGGACACGGCATAGAATGCTTCCTCGAAAGCAACGCGCTCTCCACCTTCGTTCTCATCCTGATTCTCTATCTGTATCTGCACGCTATTATATTCCGACCAATACTGATCGAGTTTTACCTTGCGCTCCTCGAGTTGAGCTATTGTCGTGGGATTAATAACTGTTGTTGACTCGACATAATTCTTTATCCGCGTACATGATCCCTTTATGACAGCACGCTGTCTCTATAATTTCGTGATATCTTCTGGATGAGACATATTGATAAATTAACCAAAAACGCGTAATAAACTGGCACACGTGGCTATCCTGGTTGACAACGGACACTCGACAACTGCCCTTATCTTTGCACATGCAGGTGAAATTGAAAACCGCTGGGTGGCGCCCTCTTTGGGAAGATCCGTGGCTGCTCGTAGCTGAACGGCGCTTTTGATCCTTGATGTTCGTCCGTCGACTGCCGCCGCCGATGGGAATGCCCTGTCAATCCGGTCGCTCAATGGGAGTCGTCCGGCTCAATTTCTCCCTCGTGAAGATCTCGCCAACGTAAGAGCGTTGATGGCCTTGAATATTTTGTCCTTCCTACCTTGGTTGTGGACAGCTCTTGGTTGTCGTGCGTATTGTACGCAGCTTGGTGTCGCACGCTGCTATGTAATATGTCGGCGTACTCGATCCTTTGTTCGACGTATAGATCTTGCCGCCGACCGCGACTGTCGTACGAGGATGTGAGTCAACAGTCGGTCTTGATTTTGAATATTTGTTGTCCGAACAATTGGCTGCCTCGTGCACTATCCCTGATTACCTGAGATTGTGTAATGCCAATGGATATCCGGCTCGAAGGACCAAAAGGATTGTTTTGTCAAATAATTAACGGGCATGTGCCCTCCGTACGCGTAGGTGGAAGGTGCTTCACTAAGGTACGGTCAGCGATTCAAAATCTCTTATTATTTTGCCTTTATAAATTAACTCCAGTTCGTGGTAAAACGTGGTAGGATTACACAATACAATACAATATAATGACTGTTTACGCACGCTCGGACAGTATACTGATTAATAATAATGAAAGCAAAAAGGAAACGAAGAAGACGACCGATATGTCGCGAGTCCGCCCGAAAGCTCGCGAATCGCCGCGAAGACGAACGAATCGTCATGAGAGGCCCCGACGCTCGGGCGCACGAAGGCTCGTTAGATAAAGCTTACTGCAATTAATATCGAACAGAGATTGTATAACTTTTTTATCATCCTTAGCACTTTGATCAAGATGGCAATCGATAGAACTTTTCGGGGAGCTATCAAAACTATTAATAAAATTAAGAGTTTAACACGGCTCTGTAATATAAATATAAATTTAAAGTGTAAGACAGGCAATGAGAGCCAATCGCGGAAGACAGTGCGTTATCCCAACAAAACTAAATTTTTTTGTTAGAATTAAATATCTGTACACAAGACACCAAATTTTACTTGGTCACGGCCAAGATTTTAAATATGAAATAATCTCATATTTGAGATTTAATTTCAATAATCCTTTAACCCCCCTACGGAAATAAATAAATGCAAGAGAAAAATATAGATCCGAAAGTCGCTGAATCGAACCCGAGACCTTTCGCTTGCCGGGCGACTGCTCTTCCAACTGAGCTATTCAGATTCTTTCGATTCTATACTTTTCTCTGCTATATATTTATAATAATGTTGATAAACAAACGCCTTTAAGCCGGCGTGTATAAGTTAAGAGTTTAACACGGCCCTTAATCTTAATCCATTATTATATATAGCAGAGAAAAGTATAGAATCGAAAGGATCTGAATAGCTCAGTTGGAAGAGCAGTCGCCCGGCAAGCAAAAGGTCTCGGGTTCGATTCCCGATTCAGCGAGTTTCGGATCTATATTTTTCTCTTGCATTTATTTATTTCCGTAGGGGGGTTAAAGGATTATTGAAATTAAATCTCAAATATGAGATTTTATATTTTAAATCTTGGCCGTGACCAAGTAAAATTTGGTGCCTTGTGCACAGATATTTAATTCTAATGAAAAAAAATTTAGTTTCGTTGGGATAACGAACTGTCTTCCGCGATTG